TGATTTCGGACACTTAACTGTAGTCAGTTAAGGCAACAACAATATAGCGATTGGTCAACAATGGATCGGGCATTCCCAACGAGTAATCCTCTAGTTTGGTCTACGAATCCCGTTTATGAATTTATATCTAATTCATCAACTATTCATGTTTTCATAAGTTCATTCTAAGATCTATTCTAGAGGTCTTCTAGATAGTCTTAACATTAATTAGCTAATATGTATATCTTAAAGTTCTTCTAAATATCCTTAAAAACATTATTCATCAATTCATACTCTTAGTTCAACAATCATTTCATCCAGAATATTCATCATCATTAATCCATAATATTCATAAAAATGAACAATCAATCAATCATCATAGTAACTAATAACAATCAGCGGCCTAGCATCGAGTGTTAACACCCTAGCTTACCGTCATGCATCATATAAGATCCCTTTTAGTTGTTAAAATACCATCTTTATTCCAAGAAATCATCCTTTTATTAATCATAATGGTTTGGTATCAAAATATAGGATTCCATAACTCAAAAATCATATTTTCTAAATAACAATTGATTAATATATGATAGGAAATTCAACTATTAGCCATTAGCTTCATTTTCTTCAATAGTGTAGGGTGACAGTCTACTGTCACTTCTGATAATCTACTGTCTGATGTTCAGAATGGGCTGATAATCGATTATCACACTCTGATAATCGATTATCACACTTCAGAGAGGGCTGACAGTCGATTATTACATTCTGATAATCGACTGTTGCTCAGCTTTGTTACAAAAATCTGCAGAACGACGAATAATCGATTTTCAAGTTGATAATCGATTATCCATCGTCTTCTACCTCGAGTCAACTTGCGGAAATGTCACTTTTACTCACCAAACTTCAATTAAAGTATATAAAAATGTTCTCTAAGGTTCATGGATCGATTTAACATCATTAATTCATAATTTTAACATCAATTTCATGGTTTATGATTCTTAGTTCTTCAAGCATGTCAAACACAAAACTCAACCAAATGACCACTTATGAACGTAGAATCGATCTATATGAGCATTCTAGTCATTAGATATATCTAGGGGCTTACCTCGAAGCTTAACGGAGGTTTTGGAAATTTTCCGGTGAAACTTCCGGCGATGATTACTCCCCACTCCGGCGACTTCGGCGACAACCAACAACACCAGACTGCTCCCTTCACTCTAATGAACACAATGGTATAATTTTCCAGAACATTGGTGCAAAATTGATAAGGATGGAGTATCCTTATATAGAAGAAGAGAAGGGGAAGAAGACATTGGTAGCTGACTCATTTCTACGTAGAATTTCCTTAGTGCGCAGGTCGGCGATTCTAATTGATCTACACGCCCTTCCCTGATTGGGACTAATTTCGGTCCCAGTCGGGGTACTCTTTTTGGTCCAACTTTCTCCGAATTGAAATCCGTTTGCAACGTTGCGATCAGACAGTCGAACTCAATCCAACAATATAATTTTTATATTTATTCGTTATACTTTTTCCGACACCACATTTTTGGGTGTTTGACTTTAACAGAGTAAAAATTGGTTTAATTGACCTTTTTCATAAAAGGTACTCTCATTTAATTCATATCAATTATTCTCATGATTTATTTCAACAAATCATTTCAATATTTACATTCTAAACAAATTCCTTATTTACTCTTGATTTGGGTTTGTACTCAGGTTTCCAATCAAGACCACACAAATAGTCCCCATATTGGATTTATCTCTATGAGACTTATCCAGATTTTGATATTAGATGTCAAAACAAATTTCGTATCAGCCCAAAGCCCAACAATAATTTATTTTAATCAAAACAAATTTGATTAATTGATTATTTATTCATTAATAATTTTAGGGTATATTTTGGGGCGTTACATTTCTTCCCCCCTTAAAAAGGAATTTCGTCCTCGAAATTCTTATAAGGTCAAACCCTCAACATTTTGTAGTGATCTCACTTAATCATGACCGTGTCATGTTCATTTGGTTAAACCATAATTACGTCATTATCCATACAGATACGTTTTCTCAAATTGTCGATGTTATCAAACTTGTTCTTTATTCAAAAGATTAATAATCTTTAATTCCACCAGGCACTCAGTGATTTTTCAATATCAACAACTAATATTCTTTCGTGGTGTATAGGGTTGTATTCTTGACATACTTGCACAAAACTTCGTTCATTCTCAATTTCCAATTGTACAACGTCGGTTAACGATATTCTCCTTTTGATTGAAAGTCCTTTAGTAGCATTTGTTGTTTCAAGTTCGGGATAGATAAAGTGGAGCATTTGGAAGTTGTTTAATTCACACGTCATAGCGTAATCTTCTAAGTCATCAAAACATCTTCACATCGTTCACAGTTTAGCAACGACTTGTAAGTAATACCTAATGGCTTTTATTGGTGTAGGATTTTCAGAATATGGGATTTGTCATCATTTATGAGGAGGTACTGTCGATCGGTTGTAGAGTAGCTTTTCATTTATCGACCTTATGCCGAAACATTTCTTCGTTCACTTCATGGTAGATCTCATTATCGTTAATGAGTCTTTGCATTAATTCGTATCCACATGTGATAACGTTAGAGTGGCGTTTCATATACGTCTTGTCGTATTCAACTTTCTTCATCGATTTTGGAATATATCCAGATACGTTCTTGATAATGACGGGTTTGATGTAACACTATGGTTGATTTCATTTCGAGTGAAGAAGAAAATATCTTCAGTACGTGATTCAATTCATGAATTCATAGTGTGAGGGATCTTTACTAGTTCTTACACCAACATTGCATATAGGTTCGGGATTTTCGCTTGAATGATTCAGCTTTTCTTTGTGACGTCATTTCTTCTCTGGTTGTTGCATACACATTTCCTTGTCAGGGTTATAATGGAGTTTGCTTGGTCAATAAGATCATCGATAATGATCTTTAGAGATAAGGTAATTGTATTGATTGTTTTGTGGTCCACAAAGAGAGGTTCAACATAATGTTCAAGTCAAGGTAGTTTTACTATTGTGATCGAGTCACGTATTCCACAAGGTATAGTTTTCAAAGATCGGTATCATGAAGAATCGTGGTTTTATTATTTTGATACAAAGAATGGAATTCAATCTTTTCAAGATTGATCAAGCGAGATGTTTCAAGGGTGTAGTTAACACATCAAGTTTGAGTAATTCAAGGATATGAGTCATAAGATATCAAGATAGCATTTGAAAATTACCGTTACTAATAGTAGGTTTTCTTCCTTCAATGTTTCACTCTTTGGAAGTTACTCAAGAGGTCGTTGTCTTAGGAAATAGCCGTTTTGACTTTTCATCTCGGATTTGAACGTGTTTCAACACAGCGAATCAAACTATTCAAGAGTCCTAATACGTCATATCTTCAGCATACTATAGTATTAGCGAGTACGTTCTCGTCTGCAGGTAATTTGAATCCTTTTTACTGTACGTATTTTGGCTGGTGATAATTACTTTTCCATCAATGGTCAGGTTCTAGAGACTATATATATCACGATTATGGGAAGAGTATCTCACATTCTCACATTATGGAAGGAACTTCTCGAACACTTCCTTACACCATAAGATTCGTTGGTCTTCTTGGCAGTCATTCTCTTGGTAGAAATCCAAAGTTTATGGCTACTGCAGTAGATTTAGGAAGAGAATTGATAAGGCGAAGAATTAGTCTTGCTTATGGAGGAGGCAACGTTGGCCTACAAGGAGCTGTTGCTTCAACAGTGTTTACCAATTGAGGTCTCGTTAGAGGTTTCATTCCTGGGTACATAGCAACACGACGAGTCTACGGACCTACATACGGCGTAGAGCACACAGTTTCCAGCAATTACTACAAATATTTTGAGATGAATCATGCCGTGGA